CTTATCCTGGGGTTTTCTTGGCAATATTTGTTTAGAGGAGATTTGTCATTGCCTTTCCCTAAGGCTGAGAGGATGTGACTTGCCCAAGGTCATCCAGTGGGTTTCATGACTGAGCAGAAAATCAAACCTTGGTCTCCAGAGTCATAGTTCAATGCTCAAACCACTGCAGCATTCTGACACTCTAAAATCCTAGATACCCCTTTAATAAACTGCAAATCCCAGGATGCCACAGGATATCATCATGGCAGTCACGATGAAGCCATAGCACTAAAACTGGGTAGTGTGAAAAGCCCCAGGGGAATTGTCTATGACATTATCTCCCCCACCCCAGTTCTCTGCTTTTGCCCGTTGACATGGAAATTGACAAGTGCAATCCTTTGGCCCAGTAGATAATGTTTGCTTACTTGTGTCTTCCATCTGTAGAAGCAAATGAGGATGCAAATACATTTTTGCCCGGTTTGTATCCATTTGTGAACAGCTTGCCTTGGTATCTCTTTCCCCCACATTGGTTTAGGGGTCAAAGAGCTGTCCATCAGCATCAGCCAGAGTTCACTGACATTTAATAACCAAAATGCACAAGCTGGGATGGAGCTGTCCATCAGCACCACAGTTAGATTGCCTATTCTTATTATATTATTTTATTTTCCAATCTCACTCCTACTCAAGCAGGAAGAGAATGTAGATCGATGAGGAATGATGCAAATGCACAGCACTCCTTGAACAGAGCCAGCAAACATTCAGCACAAACTGTTTTTGGCTTGCCTGTCTTTTCCCCCGCTTGGATACATACCATCTATAATAAAAGCAGACAAAACTAAAATATATGGAGAGTAAACACTTTTTTAAAATGAATTTCAACAGTGATAAATGTAAGGTTCTACATCTAGGCAGCGGAAAAAAAATGAGAAGCAGAAATATAGGATGGGTGACACATGGCTTTATAACTGTATGAAAAGGATCTTTGTGGATCAGAAATTAAGCATGAGTTTACAGTGTGATGTAGTGGCCAAAAAAGCAAATGCAATTCTAGGATGTATCAATAGGAGCACAGTGTTCAGCTAAAGGGAAATAGTAGTCCCACTTATTTTGCTTTGGTCCATATTGATAAACTGGAACGTGTTTAGAGGCGGGTATCCAAGATGGCCAAATGTCTGGAAACCAAGTCTTATGAGGAATGACTTGGCAAGCTGGGTATGTTTACCTTGGAGAAAACTAAAAGGTGATATAATAGCCATATTTCAATGCTTGAAGGGATGTCATGTAGAAGACTGAGTGACCTTGTTTCTGCTGCTCCAGAGACTAGAACACAAGCCAATGGATTCAAATTACAAGACAAAGAGATTCCACCTAAACATTAGGAAGAAATTCTTGACTGTAAGAGCTGTTTGACAGTGGAATAGATTGCCTCAAAGGGTGGTGGACTCTCCTTCTTTGAAGGTCTTTAAACAGAGGTTGGATTGCCATCTCTCAGGAGTGCTTTAGTTGTGTATTTCTGCGTGGCAAAGTGTTGGAGAAGAAGATACCCAGCAGCACAAGAAAAATGAAGAAAATGGATCCTAACGTGGGAGTTTACTCCTACTGATATCAGGATCTCCTGTGGGCTTTTTTTAAATCTTCAGCCCTAGCTTCATCTTGTTGTGTGCCTTCAAGTCATTTCCCATTCATGGTGACATGGGCTTTTCTTGGCAAGATTGGTTCAGAGGAGTTAGCCTTTGCTTCCCTCTGAAGCTAAGAAAATGTCACTTGCCTAAGGTGACCCAGTGGGTTTCCATGACTGAGCAGGGATTTAAACCCTGTTCTCCAGAGTTGTACATCAGTGCTCAAACCACTAGACCACACTATTTCTCTACCCAGAAATCCACAGAACCTAAACTGGGACAACAGCTTCCCTGTTTGGGTATTCAAAAAAGTCCCAATCCAAACAGGTACTACTCCCAATATTTTATTTATTTATTTATTTATTTATTTATTTATTTATTTATTTAACTAGGGTTGTAGCTATGGGACAGGGGGCTTTGCCTCTCGAAATAAGAATTCTGCTCCCCAAATGATTTTTTTTCCTTCAATGAAAATTGCAGAGAGTGAAACATTGAGTATTTTTTAACATTTAAAACTCTTCTGTTTGCTGTGTTCATGTTTCCTAGGACTGCCCCTTTTCTTTGGATGCCTAAATCATATCTCTAAATTCTCAGTGGAAGTTTTCAGTTAGTGCAATGCTAGAAATGTTAGGATGGAAAGACTATTTCCTGGAAGGAGGCAGAATTCAAACGGGAGTCCAATGCTCTTATTCGTTTTACCATATTTTGTTTTACCATACTATCTTCCAGTCTGGATGACTCTTTGCTGCAATGGGTCCTCCTCCGTTTCAGTTTTTAATTTCTTTTTCAAAACAGACTTGCATGAACAAGTTTATCATCATCTCCAAAATGGGATTTTAAAGGAGAAAGCCTCTTCCTTTCCCCCCTCTGCCTCAAAGACGGAGTGCATGAATGGCCACCAAAGGAGTCATTTGAAACTAGCTAGTCTCCAACTAACCTTCTGCAATCTTCAGCTCTTCAAGCCACCCACCTATGTGTTTCTTCCAAGCCTGAGGTATTCATACCTGAGCCTCTTTAAAATCTGTACTCACAACTTTTTTCCCCCTTTGCATTAGCAAAGTAAAAAGAGCACCTGCAATTTTATTTTATTTTATTTTATTTTATTTTATTTTATTTTATTCTATTTGCAACAGCAAGAGCAACCAAAAGAAAAATGCCAACACCAACACACTAAAGCCTTTCATATAGTGGGAAATTACCCCAGTGTTTGAATATCACATCAGATTAGGTGGCAAAGAGCAAGCTGACATTAAAATAAATGAGCCAATCATGTCCTCCCTCTGCGTTCCCATTCCAGCGAGTGTCTAGGTTTTGATAACTCATCTGACCAGCTAGGGAGGGGTAATTTTCTATGCAATTCATGTTCCTGACAGCGGGCTAGAGATATTATACGGTGCACACACATCCCTCCAGCAGGAATAAAAAGAAAAGAAAAAGAAAAAGAGACAATCTCGTTTGAAAGAAAGTGAGAGATAAAGTTGATTGACTCCTTTGACGGCTTCTCCATCATAATGACACCTCATCGGAGCTGGTCAATGCAAACCTGTCATTAATCTCAGCCATGGGAGGTCAGCCTTGGCTTGAGAGAGCCAAGCCGGGGATGCTCCACTCTGCCCATCATTGCTCCAAATCAGCAACCATAATCGCTCCCAGATCAGAACTTGTTTCCCATTATCTGCTCAGTGTTGGCCGATGATATATGAAGCAATTTCAGCCCGACAGTTGTGTTGGGTGCGTGCTCATAAGGCTATCCGGTGAAATCTATATACTGCTTTTTCCACCTTCTCTCCTTCCCCTCCCCCTTCCTGCAAGGAGCAATATTTCTAAAACTAAAAGTAGTTTTCAAAAAGGAGAGGCCATAACTCATCTTTACATTCCCTTGCAATCCATTCATTAGGCCCCTGGATTTTCTCTCCATTATGCCACCATCTGAATGCATTTATCTGGTTGTTTATTAGAGGCTGCTTGGTGGGATGGGGAGAGAAGGGTCAGGGATGCAACCCAACACACGGAGCGTTATTTCTTCCTACTGTGCTCACACAGCAAGTCTATAAAACAGGGCTTTGGGGGGTTTATTTTTTTCTAAAACCATTGAAATGGGATTTAAAAGAATAAACCAATAGGGCTGGGCAAGTGTGAGGTAGCCAAGGACCAATTCCTCCTCTTTCACACATACACCCAGCAAGACCAAATCTCTCTATTTTCTTCTGGAGTCCCTCTCAAAATGGTGACATTGTGTCACTCCATGCCACCATTTTGAGAAGGACGTCAGAGGACAACAGGAGGGCTAGTAAAAGGCACTAGAGTTTTTGTGGGGAGGGAACATGGATATTTCCATGTGTTTTCACACACTGGGGAGGTCTTTTTGTGTTGTTTGGGGGCAAATGTTGCCCCCAAATCATGCCATTTTAAAAACCCAGTTAGGGGTGCTTTTAGGAACTGGGATGAAGCAAAACTGGTGTCACAAAAGTGGAGTCCAGAGGCTGAACATCATGGGACACATTATGCCCAGACTTATCATATACCTCCCTGCTGTCCTGATTTCTCAGGGACAATCGCATTTAATCCTCTGTCATCCAACTTTTTGAACATTTTTAAAATGTCCCAGTTTTTCTCTCCTCCTTTGTCCTAAGCTTGCTTCAGTTGCTGCAAACAGTTCAAAGTGCAAATGTTCATAGTTTGCATTCAGTTAGCAGGAGGAGTGGGCAGAATTTTGGCTTCCCAGTAGGCTCAGGCAAAGGTAAACTGCTGCTGCCTTGCCTAGGTTTGTCCTTATTAAGAGGTTTTGCCATCTTGAAGATACCCTCATTTGTTTGCCCCACAAATGTCCTGATTTTTATCTGTAAAATGCTATAGAGTGTGCTACTTTAAAAATATCTACGAGTGTCCATAAACTCTAAAACCTTGGGGAAAACAACTCCATCAAGAAAACAGTGGTGAAAGGAAGGTCTAATGAGAGGTCTAGTTCTCTCTGCCCTGCTTTGGCTCCGTTCCAGAGAGTGTAGCCATAGGCTATCATACTCCATTTTTAACCTGAAGTGCTTAGTTGCTAGTCCAGGATCCTTGTGGGAAACTATAGGAGTTAAAGCTAGGAAGAGGACTGATGTGGCTGCCATGCTGCAAAATTAATACTGTTTGATACCACTTTAACTGTCATGACTCAATGCTATGGAATCTTGGGAGTTGTAGTTTGTTGTGGCACCCAGAGCAATCTGACAGAGAAGGCCAAATATCTCACCAAACTACAACCCCCAGAATTCCATGGCAGTTAAAGGACTGTCAAACTGCATTAATTCTGCTGTGTAGATGCAGGCTGGGATATGAGACTCTGATATTATCTGCATGACCAAGTTGTAGAAATTTTATGCCATTTTATTCTGTAGTTTGGAATTCTGTAGTTTGGTCAACATGGTGTAATGGTTTGAGCATTGGACTATGATTCTGGAGAGCAGGGTTCAAATCCCAGCTCTGTCATTAGAACCCACTGGGTGACCATGGACAAGTACCACTCTCTGAGCCTCAGAGGATGACAATGGCAAACCCTCTCTGAAGAAACTTGCCAAGAAAACCCCATGATAAGTTCTCCTTAGGGTCACCATAAGTTGGAAATGACTTGAAGGCACACAACAACAGCAAAGGTATTTACACTTCTTGGTTAGAGAAGGCACTCCCCTGAATGACAGCACACAGTTTTCTAACTGCAAATCCCAGGACTCTGTTGACGGAGCCATAGCAATTAAAATAGTATGAAATATCTATGGCTGTGACACAGAGGCAGTCCATTGCAAAGCAGGTCCAGCCCTGTTGACTAGCAAGAGCAGAAGGTGAAGTTCTTAGTATCTACACTGAACTTCATAGCACCTACAGATCACAGGTACTGATCCCTCATTGACAGGGGCTTGGACTCAATGGCCCTTGGTGTACCTTTGAACTTTACCGCTCCATAATTATCATGGGAAAGGTCTTGGCCTCCATCGAGAGTGGAACCAACCAAGTTGTGTCAGGAGGTCAAGACAGCAAGCAATGCCAAGGGATAAAAACAACACTCAGAATAAACAATTAAACCGCAGCTCATGAGAGACAGGGAGACCGTTGCGGCCCAAGGAAAGCATCAGCCCAAGTCTGATATATCTTTTCCTAACTAAAAGAGTCCAGAGGCCAGCCACTTATCCTCCAACATTTCACTGTTGAGATACAGATGCATGGCCAAACAATAGCCAAGTGTGGTCAAGATGGCAAAGGATATTAATGAGGAAGAATGCACAAGCTAGGAGAGGTTGAAGCAGTTCGCTTTTGCCTGAGACTATTGGGAAGGGTAAGACTCTGTTCGCTCCTCTCTATCCCCCTTCTGAGTTAACTGAGTGCACATTGAACTCATTTTACAGCATACAAGGGGATCTTGTAGCACCTTTGAGACTAACCATGTAGAAGTTGTTGTAGCATAAGCTTTCATAGACAGTCTACTTCTTCAGATGCAACTCTATCTCACCACTAAGGACTCTACTGTGCAGTGATGGCTTTTGTTGTTGTGTACCTTCAAGCTGTTTCTGACTTATGGAGACCTTAAGGCAAAACTATCATGGGATTTTCTGGGACTGACAATGTGTGAGTCACCCAAGATCACCCAGTGGGCATCCACAGGAGAGTGCGGAATCGAACCCTGGTCTCCAGCATCACAATCCAGTGCTCAAACCACTATGCCATACTCTGGCTGGTGTCTCCTATGTCAGTTGGTTCCCGGAGTTATTCTCCCGGCTCTTTTCCTAGATGATCTGGTTTGTTAATCTGTTCTCTTACCCCTAGCTGCTATTGTTTGTTGTTTTGTTTATGATTTTAATGTCTGATGCTGTTTTTAATACCATTTTAGTTTAATCTATTTTTAAGGGGTGGGAGGGTTAGGGGGGTATTTGGTGATGTGTTTTATTCTTGTATTGTTTTAATCTGTTGTACACTGCTCCGGTTGCTTTGCAGAGGGGCGGGTTAGAAATAAAAATTATTATTATTATTATTATTATTATTATTATTATTATTATTATTATTATTATTATTGGTTGTCAATCCATTCTGGATGTTAGTCTGAATTTTAAAGGAGCTATCCAAGTGGCTTAACCTATTTGGGAGGATACAGTTCAGCACCTTGGATCGAGCCTTTAAAGATGGGACTGAAACTCAGAATGGAGCGACCCACACCAATGACTTGGAATCCATCAGCTACAGCTGTCACATTCTGCTCTGTATTTGTTCAAGCTGTTCGATGCTGTGCTTCTTCTTCCCAACTCACTTACTCTTTTTAAAAACAGGCAAAGCAAAACAAGTATATTTTCAAGCTTCTTGGAGGCTGTCCTGATTGTGCATAGGAAAACAAAGCAGAAGGGGAGGGGTTGTTTTTAAAAGAGTGCTATTCCTATCCAAACAGTCTTACAAATTAAACTAAGTCATGTCAGGCTTCCTGATCCAACAGCAGCTGCGCACCCCCCACGCCGTCTTTGGTGTTGATTTTCCACTGTAGCTCCTTCTCTTGTAAATACTCAGGCGCTGCCTTAGTGCTGTGTAAATGTCATGTCGAATAGCAAATTTATACAAAAATTTGGAGATAGATAGCAGGATGTAAAACAGGATTACAAGCCCACAATACAATGAGAAGAGCTTAAACATTCGGAAAGGAGATCAAAGTAAATTTAGGGAGCAAATGAAACATTTCCGTTGGGAAGTTTACTTTTTAGAAATGGGAAAGTGTTATGTCAAGATCAGACCATGGTATTTGCAGGACAGGACATCAAACACTGAGGACAGGACAGAGAAATGAAAACCCTGGTGTAAAACTTGACATTTATTCATGCTTTGTAAAATGGCCAGCCAGTGTCAAAATACCATAGAAATGCTTTCCAATGGTCTTTGGTCAGGTATGTGTGATTTACTAACCTGGTGGCCTCTAATTTGATGGTTCTCTCCCTTTAGTCCTCCAGATATTTTGGATTTTAGTTCCCAGAATCCTTGACTGTTGGTGGTGCTGGGTGTGGATCCTGGAACTAATGGTGACTCAAGGCTGAGAACCACTATCCCAACTGGTTTGAGAACCTGTTGGGTGCAAATTGAGGGTTGAATGGCCCCTGGCTGTAATTATCCAATCATTCCTTAAAAAAAACAATCTGGATCAAGTAAGCAGGATCTGGAATGAAGTCTGGAATAGGCTATTCAGGATCAGAGTGAGATCCCAGGCAAGGCATATAGTTAATTTGAGGAGGATGGGCTCAATGGAGGAACTCACTAGCACACAAAGAAGCCGGAGGTATATACACAAGTCTCAGCAAATAGCTAATAATAATATCATAGTTATTTTGTGGGGGTTTGGGGCTATGTAGCCATGATCTAGAAGAGTTTATTCCTGATGTTTCACCAGCATCTTTGGCTGGCATCTTCAGAGAAAGACTATCATAGTCCAGAATCCTCTTACTTAATTTACAGGTTCAGAAGGCACATTTTGGCAGCTCTTTCCCTATTGTACTTAGCATTATCGTCTTTTCTACTGAGTCTTCTCATTATACAGCCGAAGTACAAAAACCTCAGTTCTATCATCTTGGCTTCTAGGGAGAATTCAGGCCTGATTTATTCTACAACCCCTTCTTTTGTTGTTGTTTTGTTTTGTTTTGTTTTTGTTTTGTTTTTTTAGCTGTTCATGGTATTTTCAGAACTCTTCTCCAGCACCACATCTCAAATGAGCTGGTCTTCTTCCTATCAGCTGATGGTAAGAGCTGTTTGACATTGGAATACACTGCCTTGGAAGATGGTAAATTCTCCTTTTTTGGAGGCTTTTAAACAGGAGCTGGATGGCCATCTGTTGGGAGGGCTTGCTTTGATTGTGTCTTCCTGCATGGCAGAATGGAGTTGGACTGGATGGTCTTTGGAATCTCTACCATCTCTAGGTTACGCTGAGAAGGATATGAACTGTAGCCCAATACTTTCAGAGAGCGCAACATTGGGGAAAGTTAAGCTGGTAGGAGCTGTAGCCCAACACAGATAGAAGACACTAGATTTGGGGGAGGTAATATGTTTTTAAAAGAGAAAAGAATTGATCTGATTTGTTTGGGCTGTGAAAGGAAGAAATAGTGGTATTTTCCATAAGTTTAACGAAAGTCCTTGGAAGACTTTTACCAAGCACTGGCTACAGACTGAAATCATTATTATTCTAATTACACCGAAAAGAGCTTGGGGGATGATGCGAAAGGACTGTGCCTTCCTCAGTCTGATGCTCCCTCCGCTTGCTGAATCTTACCCGATCTCAGATGATGGATGAGGCCTCCTCAGCAAGAATGGGCTGAAGGCCAGGGATGGGAGGGGGAAGAAACCCTTGGCCAATGTTCTTAATTAGATTCCGTGTCCTTACGGCCACCCCGATCCCACCAATACGTAATCTCCCAGCTGAGATAGAATCCACAGCAGATAAAACAAACAAGCCAGGATCAATTTTAATTTGTTCTGAGCAGGGTGCATTTCATCTCATTTGACACTGGGTTTTTGGGAAGCCATCCTTTAATGTCGCCGAGAATGTGGGGGCCAATTTGTGTGGTCGATATTCATGGGACTGTTCATCTGTCACCTTACTGCGTCATAGGGATGTATGATGTCAGTGGATGGTAAAATATGCAACAAAAGTGGGTCACAGGCAGCCCCCAGACCACATTTTTTCAATTCAATTTCTTTATTATGGCCATTCGGCCAGCACAAAGTTACAATAAAACACATCTTAGTTGTATACAATAGTTTCTTATGGGAACATACCGGTAACAAATCCTAATTTGTACAAAGACAGAAATAGGACAATATAATTATCTAAACTCCGTGATAATTGGAAATTCTAATAACTTCAATGAGATGAAATGGTATGACCTCATACATAAGTCTAATCGTATGATACTATCCCTAGGACACTTTGGTTCAATAGCTATAATCATTTCTTTTAGCTGGGAGAAAGAAAAGACTAAACAGTATTACTAGTTAGTTACCATGGACCACATTTTTAGTTCCTTGAGGTCCCCTCACCAGCCCCTCCCACCCCCATGCCAACCCAAAAATTTGCAAAACAAAATTGGCATTATTTGGGTGCAATTTTTGCCCAAAGCTACACAAAAAGCTGCCAAATGTGTTGAAATCCAGGAAAGTGCCCCCAATCCTCCCCTACAAGCCCCCCAGAATCCTACATTGTACCCAAATATCACTGTTTTCATCTACAGCCCTTCTCAAAATGGTGACAGGAAGCAGTGAGATGTCATTTCCCATTGCAATTTTGAGGACTGAAGAAGACAATGGAGATATTGGGGGCTTGCTATGGAAAGTAGGTATATCCCACAGGGAGACATGGGGGAAATTAGCTTTCCCCCCCCCACATCTTCCCATCCTTTGTGTATAAGGTTTGGTTATCACATTGCCAGGGTATGATCCTCCATCAGCTGTTCCACGTATGCTCTGAACATTGA